TGAATGTTTCTCTCTACTAGATTTATTGTCAGTGATGCATGCTGGGGAAGGATATAAATATTTGAGGTGACCATCCAGAAGGATCTCTTGCCTCTTAAGCTGGGGCCTAGGAAGATTGCGCTGGAGGAATTTTGCTGTTTCCTGTTGAGGGTGTTGCTGAAAGAAGACCCTGAGCCTGAGCCTAAAGAAGCAAGAATTGGCCTTATCTCTTGGGGCCTAAGGGATTTTGGCTGCCCTGCTCGAGGGTACATCCAGAGGGGGCAGAGCCATAAGATGGCTGTCTGGACCATCTTAGGAGGAGGCTTCCGTGATGAAGGGTGTCCTGAAGAACTGTGTTTAAGCTTCTGCTGGTGGACATTGCAATTGTTCTCACTGCTCATCCAGTGTTCTTTTGTCACTCTGAAGGCTAGGTTTACACTATATGTGGGTGCAGGACTGCGTGTAGTAGTACGTTTACCACACCTGCATCAGAAACGTGCCTCTGTTATCAGAGATGTTGGGGGTAAAATTAATTCTTAATGACACCCTCGTGCATTAGCAGATTCCCTGTGGCTGCAATTGTGAAAAAAGGTGCAGGGATCTTTTCCCTGTGTCTTCCATAGGTACAGCAGCCTATTCAAGTTAATTGGCTGCTGTGCCCACACAAATGTGGCTGCCGGAAAACTGAAATAGTGTGAACCTAGCCTAAACATGCAATTATCTTTTCACCTAGAAGAGAAGTCTTCATATGTGTTTTTTTGGAAGTCTGTGCATCACCATATCTGCTATATTGTACTCTTAAATATGGATGCCTGTTTTAGGGTTTTCAAGTGCCCTAAACCTTGAACCTTTTACCAAATAATAAGTCAATGATTCTGCCCTGAGAGTTGAAATGCTCTTCAACCACCCAGGGTAAGGAGGTGCTACATATGATTTGAAATTTAATATTTTAAAAATCCTTTGGATTTTCTTTTACATATCAATGTCTATACAGTATGATATTTTATGGATTGGGTAAGGAGGTGCTACATATGATTTGAAATTTAATATTTTAAAAATCCTTTGGATTTTCTTTTACATATCAATGTCTATACAGTATGATATTTTATGGATTGGTTTTACAAACACTTTAATATTTAATTTATTGTTTTATTTGTACAGCGGCATTAAAAGCAGCTTTCAGAATGGAGTAAGCTATGTGGGTAAGATATTTTGGTCCCCTGAAGACAAATTTCCAGAAGCAAGTGTACGAGGACTCTGATGGGCTACGTCGACTTATACGCAGGGAGCTTCAGGAGATCCAACGGAAGATCTATCCCTATATGGATGAAGCCCACCAAAAGATAAACAAGAACCTTGAAAAGCTACAAAGCCGCCTGTCACCTTACAGTGAGGAGCTCAAATATCAGGTGAGGAAGGGAACACAACAGTTCACAACACAGCTTGGCCTGTACAAGGATGAAATTAGTAAAGGGTTGTCACAGAATGTTGCAGAAAACTTTAAAGACCAAATCATTCTACACACGATGAAAGTGAGACAAACGTTGCATCCTCTGGCAGACAAACTTTTGGCAGAGATTCATTATGCGACTGAGGAGCTTCATGGGAACCTATCTCCACATTCCCTGACATCTCAGGAAAAATTGACCCTGCATGTTCAAGAATTATCTAATAAACTATCTCAAAACGCAAAAGAGCTACATAAGAAAATCCACAAAAACCTAGATGACTTGAAGGAGCACCTCGTGTCCTATCCCCAACAAGTAAGAGAACGGTTTCCTGAGACTCAGGCAGCTGAGCCTGTAGGCCCTTATGTAGAAGAAGTGGCAGCTCAGGTGCAGAGAGAAGTGGAGGAATTCAACAGGAATACTCAGATGCAGATTGAACAATTTACCCGGACCATTAATATGGAAATGGAAGAGCTGAACTATAGATTATCTCCGGCTTCTTCCAATCTACAGGATACTGTCTCTTCAATACAAGAAGTGCAAGAGAAACTGGAATCTTTATGGAAGGATATATCCCAAAACCTGTAACAGCGGTCTGTTTGCATTGAGTGGGACTGGTTGCAATAGGTTAACGATACAGTGGATTCATACTGGTAAAGTGGAACCCAAGTTAAACAACTACATACACCACTAAAATACATACATGTAAAATTTGTCTGGCAAATAAATTGTATTTTAGTTTACAACTCATATTCATAGACCCATGCCACATACCACAGTTCATTTACTAAAGGCAGATGGGCTGTTAACTTTGCAAGGGAATTTTCCCTTAGCTTAATGAATGAGGTGAAACTTCCATCATCCAAACATGTGCAAACATTTTTTTTTTTTTAGATCGTGATCTACCAGTAGATCTTGGCCAGGTGACTGGTAGATCCCAGTCAGGGCTTGCTGACCCACCACCATCCTAGAGCATGAAACAGAGTGCAATGCAGAAGGACTACTTGTAAAGTTGGAGCTGTAGTGAAGGAGCAAGAGCCGCATAAGTTGATGTCTCCTCTGTAGTGCTGGATCCTACACCATGTCATGGTTGGTGGGTGTGAATGAGGCCCCTATGCATGTGCCCTGCAACCTTGTGTAATACAGCAAACAAGGGGTTAAACAGGCATCGGTGTGCTGCTTTCTTACTACCTGTTTTTACCCCTTAGATCCTGCAGAAGCATGCAGTTGTGGAGCACTTGCAGAGTGGTCCCATTTACTTGAATGTGTCTCAATTGACAGGCGGTAGCATCTACCAAAAGCACCAGGGGGTGTAATTCCTGCTGTGGCATATGTATGTCTTTGACTGCTGCCTCAGCAGCTAAAGGGGATAGGGATTGGAGGCAGTAAAACCATGACTCAACCAAAGGGTTTTACCACCCCCCAACTTTACATGTGAACGAGCCCCAAGAGTGCCGCTGCCGGATGCAACTAAGGGCTCATTCACAAGTGCAGCAGACACTACTGCACCCCTGCATTGCGATCCAAATATGTTTGACAGGTGGTGAGAAGGCGATATGTTGCCTTCTCAACACCTGATTTAAAACCATGATTGCAGTGCAAAGTACATGATTGTGACCCGGTAGCACTGCAATTAAAGGTTTAAATCAGGTGCGAGGAGGTGACACTGGCCGACACTGTGCCCCGTGATCTTTGACTTCTCCCATGTTGTTCAGGTAGATCTCCACCTCTTTAAGGTTGCTTACCCCTGATTTAGACAATATTTGCTTATATATATTGTTCAGCATTAAAAACAGATTGAATATAGAATCCACAGATATTTGTTTTTATATTTTTGTCTTCCTGTTTAAGATTGTTAACTTGCTATGCAACCATAGGCTCATATAGGTCTGTAATGATGAACTATAGGTGAGGTTTTGCATTATAGACTTGGAAGAAAGAGGATTTAAAACAATAAAAATCATTAACATCTATAAACTATTTTTACAAAGCACTATGTGAGCAATTAAAGAAAATAAAAACTGCAACATATTACTGTATACATTTGCTAAAGAAATTTGTTGGATATATTTGAATACCTCAACACTTAAAAGTCTAAGTGCTGGAAAGTTCCTAGTGCATGGCAAATATTGCTATTTTGACACTGACATGCTGAATATGATAATTACCTTGTCATAGTTACTGTAAGGTAATCAATGCAAATCTCCATATCTCCCTTTGTGATGGTAAGTGAAGATCTCATTGTCAGATCAATATGGGTCATTGAAGTTATGATCGTAGCAATATGGCCATTATGGTTCCACTAACGAGTATTTGGAATAAAAATATAATTGTTGCATTTAACAGGACGTATTCCTTATCCTTCCTTCTTTACTTGGTAAGTCTCTGACTTGCAACAAGCCTGTACCTATCAGGTATAGTAAGGTGTGATCTATCAACACCAGCACTATGGTGGCACCAGCCACTTGGCAGATCCTTCAAAAGAGATTTAGGTGGAATTCTTCACATTGTCACATATGATATCATCATGCCCGTTTTACCATATTGGTGGTGCATCTTTTAGTTCTTACTGGTGTGCTCCCTGGTATACTTCCTAGATCCTGGTATCTGACATCACATCCACCTAGAGCATGGGTTCTCAACCAAGGTTCCATGGAACCCTAGGATTCATCCACAGGTTGCTAAGGGTTCCGTGAGCAATGAGCAATTTCTGCCTCTCAGATAAGTTTCCACTGACACCATTGATCTTTTTAGTTATCTGTAAGGGGGTAATTCTTCCCAATGACCACAAGAGTAAGGATCATTCTCCCCACTTATTATCATTCTAATGTACCTTGAATTGTAGATATAGTCATTTTTACCAGGGGTTGCCTGAGACTGGAAAGTTATTTCATGAGTTCCTCTGTGTTGAAAAGGTTGAAAAAGACTGACCTAGAGGGATCTGCTGTAACACCACTGACTACCTTGTATACTGCCACTTACTAGAGACTTGACAGATGTGCTTGTATATTCATTTACATGTGAGTGCAATATATACACTATATTGCCAAAAGTATTGGGGCGCCTGCTTTTACATGCACATGAACTTTAATGGCATCCCAGTCTTAGTCCATAGGGTTCAATATTGAGTTGGCCCACCCTTTGCAGCTATAATAACTTCAGCTCTTCTGGGAAGGCTGTCCACAAGGTTTAGGAGTGTGTTTATGGGAATGTTTGACCATTCTTCCAGAAGCGCATTTGTGAGGTCAGGCACTGTTGGACAAGAAGGCCTGCCTGGCAGTCTCCACTTTAATTCATCCCAAACGTGTTCTTTCGGGTTGGTCAGGCAAGTCAAGTTCCTCCACCCCAAACTCACTCATCCATGTCTTTTTGGGCCTTGCTTTGTGCACTGGTGTGCAGTAATGTTGGAACAGGAAGGGGCCATCCCCAACTGTTCCCACAAAGTTGGGAGCATGAAATTGTCCAAAATGTCTTGGTATGCTGAAGCCTTAAGAGTTCCCTTCACTGTAACTAAGGGGCCAAGTCCAACCCCTGAAAAACAACCCCACACTATAATCCTCCCTCCACCAAGCTTTACACTTGGCACAATGCAGTCAGGCAAGTACTATTCTCCTGGCAACCGCCAAATCCAGACACATCCATCGGATTGCCAGAGAAGTGTGATTCATCACTCCAGAGAGCACATCTACACTGCAGTCCAGTGGCATTTTGCTTTACACCACTGCATCTGACGCTTTGCATTGCACTTGATGATATAAGGCTTGGATGCAGCTGCTCAACCATGGAAACCCATTCCATGAAGCTCTCTACGCACTGCTGTTGTGCTAATTGGAAGGCCACATGAAGTTTGGAGGTCTTTAGCTATTGACTCTGCAGACAGTTGGCAACTTCTGCATGCTGTGCGCTTCAGCATGTGCTGACCCCACTCTGTCATTTTACGTGGCCTATCACTTCATGGCTTAGTTAATGCTGTTCTCAGTTGCTTCCACTTTGTTATAATACCACTAACAGTTGACTGTGGAATATTTAGTAGCAAGGAAATTTCACGGATGGACTTACTGCACAGGTGGCAACCTATCACAGTACCACGCTTGAGTTCACTGAGCTCCTAAGAGCGACCCATTCTTTCACAAATGTTTGCAGAAGCAGTAGGAGCACCATGAGTGATGGTGACGGTTCTAGGAGCAAGCAAGAATTTTCAATGGAATTTTGAGTGACATTTGGCACCTAAGCTTTACTTTTATTCTATGGTATTAACTGCACGGACTTGCAAAGACAGACACGGGGGTTTATTTACTAAAGCTGAAGGGTGCAAAATCAGACTCACTTCTGCATGGAAATTAATCAGCTTCTAACCTCAGCTTGTTCAATTAAGCTTTGCCAATAAAATCTAGAGGCTGATTGGTTTCCATGCAGAAGTGAGTCTGATTTTGCACTCTCCAACTTTAGTAAATAAACCCCACAGTGTTTTTTTTATTTTTATAGGCATTACACACCTTATTTATTTCTCTATTTTGGTCCAGTTGCATTTATTGTTTAGAGTTTTTGGGTATTTATCTAGGTAATAGCCCTTTGCACACTTCACATTGCAGTAGTAAATAGTGCAGCGCATATATCTCTATAACCTCATATGTGAATTAAAGTGTCCAAACCATGTGATTATGCAACAACGGAAGTCACGTGATGTGATGTAACGCATAGAGTGGGCCAATGACGTCAAGCTGCTAAACTGGAACGTTACGAGTCGCTATCTTGGAAATTCCTGAACACATTGAAAATACATTATAACAAGGTTGTTTACTGTGGCGTCCCAGCAGGACACGTTTAAATGTGAGTGCACTTCGTTTTTTTTAATAAATCACGCTATATTTATATACTACACTATGGCAAGTGTTTCTGTTTACATATGCTGAGGATTTGTGGGATAAAGAGGAGACGGGACCGTTTGCAGCAGAGTGAGGAGGAAAGTGGAGTCATCTATGCAGTATACCTACCCGGGTTAAAAGGGAAAGGCAGTATTTGACCTATGCAATTTGGGTAATAAAAGGAGGTGAGAGTATACAGTGGGGCAAAAAAGTATTTAGTCAGCAACCAATTGTGCAAGTTCTTCCACTTAAAAAGATAAAAGAGGCCTGTAATTGGCATCATAGGTAGACCTCAACTATGAGAGACAAAATGAGAAAAAAAAATCCAGACAATCACATTGGCTGATTTGGAAAGAATTTATTTGCAAATTATGGTGGAAAATAAGTATTTGGTCACCTACAAACAAGCAAGATTTCTGTCTCTCACAGACCTGTACCTTCTTTAAGAGGCTCCTCTGTCCTGCACTCATTACATGTATCAATGGCACCTGTTTGAACTTGTTATCAGTATAAAAGACACCTGTCCACAACCTCAAACAGTCACACTCCAAACTCCACTATGGTGAAGACCAAAGAGCTGTCGAAGGGGGCACCAGAAACAAAATTGTAGACCTGACCAGGCTGGGAAGACTGAATCTGCAATAGGCAAGCAGCTTGGTGTGAACAAATCAACTGTAGGAGCAATAATTAGAAAATGGAAGACATACAAGACCACTGATAATCTCCCTCGATCTGGGGCTCCACGCAAGATCTCACCCTGTGGGGTCAAAATGATCACAAGAACGGTGAGCAAAAATCCTAGGACCACACGGGGGGGACCTAGTGAATGACCTGCAGAGAGCTGGGACCAACGTAACAAAGGCTACCATCAGTAAAACACTATGCCGCCAGGGACTCAGATCCTGCAGTGCCAGACGTGTCCCCCTGCTTAAGCCAGTACATGTCCGGGCCCATCTGAAGTTTGCTAGAGAGCATTTGGATGATCCAGAGGAGGATTGGGAGAATGTCATATGGTCAGATGAAACCAAAATAGAACTGTTTGGTAGAAACACAACTCGTCATGTTTGGAGGAGAGAGAATGCTGAGTTGCATCCAAAGAACACCATACCTACTGTGAAGCATGGGGGTGGCAACATCATGCTTTGGGGCTGTTTCTCCGCAAAGGGACCAGGACGACTGATCCATGTACAGGACAGAATGAATGGGGCCATGTATTGTGAGATTTTTAGTGCAAACCTCCTTCCATCAGCAAGGGCATTGAAGATGAAACGTGGCTGGGTCTTCCAACATGACAATGATCCTAAGCCTACCGCCCGGGCAACGAAGGAGTGGCTTTGTAAGAAGCATTTCAAGGTCCTGGAGTGGCCTAGCCAGTCTCCAGATCTCAACCCCATAGAAAACCTTTGGAGGGAGTTGAAAGTCCGTGTTGCCCAGCGATAGCCCCAAAACATCACTGCTCTAGAGGAGATCTGCATGGAGGAATGGGCCAACATACCAGCAACAGTGTGTGCCAACCTTGTGAAGACTTACAGGAAACGTTTGACCTCTGTCATTGCCAACAAAGGATATATAACAAAGTATTGAGATGAACTTTTGATATTGACCAAATACTTATTTTCCACCATAATTTGCAAATAAATTCTTTCCAAATCAGCCAATGTGATTGTCTGGATTTTTTTTCTCATTTTGTCTCTCATAGTTGAGGTCTACCTATGATGCCAATTACAGGCCTCTCTCATCTTTTTAATTGGGAGAACTTGCACAATTGGTGGCTGACTAAATACTTTTTTGCCCCACTGTATACGTATGTGTCTGATGGGGGAGCACCTATAGGAAAATATGTGGATATAAGCAATAAAGAGCACCTGTTTTGTGAACAAATTATAAAGGCACGGATCAAGCACACATAATGGACTTTTAAGTTGTAATAAATGTATTCACCGTTGTTGCATACATACAGGTAAGCCTATAATAAGGCTTACCTGTAGGTGCCGTAAATATCTCCTAAATGTGAACCGTTTAGGACATATTTACTTTATTAGACTTACATTAGACGCCTTTGGTGGATGCACACTTCCGCTATCACATCTCTTGTCACTTGAGTTCTAAATGAAAGAGAACTCCACAACATCATGAAAATGAATCATTTTCCTACTGCAGACTGCAAAATAAAAAAATAAATGTGGAAGTAAGACTTCAGATCAACCACAGAGTAACACTGTGGAGTGACAATGTAACAGAACACTTATCTGAAACCAAGAAGACATTGCCAGATCCAACCCAGCGGAAAAGAAATGGATATCAGACAGGTGGTGTTGTACCTGCACAGGAGACTTTGTCCAATCTCCCAGAATTTATATGTTATAGCAGCCTTTCTTAACCAGGGTGCCCTGGCATTCTGGGGTGCCTTCAGACTTCTTTAGGGGTGCCTTGGCAAAATGCCCAAAAATTGTTTACAAGCCAGCAGGTGGATCAATCCTGCCTTTTAATACACAAAGCCACATGTTTTCATTGTGCACTTTTATGACCTTCTAGCTGCCAGCATCCTGACAACCAATGACATCATCAGTTGATAAGGAGGATGTCGGGTGCATCTACATCATCCATGTTTGGCCTTCCCCTGCCCCTCTTTCAGCACTGGGGTCACATTAGCAGAATGAGGGAGAGAAAATGAGAGAAACACACTGCAATACTAGTTAGTACCAGTGTGCAAAGGTGTATTTGCTTTAGAAGAATAAATCACATTTTAGATTGGGGTGCCTTGAAATTGTGCAGAATTTTAAAGGGTGCCTTGAGATTATCCATAATTTTAAAGGGTGCCTTGACTGAGAAAAGGTTGAGAAACACTGTGTTATAGGAAGTTCACCTTTTAACAAAAAATAATCCACATTTTTTTGCAAGTAAAAAAATGTGTATTTACTATTTTTTGTTGTAGGAACCTAGAAAGCATAGCACCAGCATTCACTGGTGCCACGCAGGTCTCCTGCAGACCTGTCAGTATATCTCTTTGCCCGTACATCCCGTGCAAGCAAGCCAATACACTTTGACAGGAAGAATTAATGAACTACCACAGTGCTCAATAGTGCTGTGGAAGTTAATTGAAACCCTTTGAGGGCGAAACATGTAGGGAGTATACTACATTTACCTAACCAAGTCTGAATCTCAGTTGGTATTCTTAGAATTGAAAATGTTTTTATGTTTTTGTATCTTTTCCTTTCTTGTTTTACCAAAATACAAAATAAAAATTATATAACTTTTAATGTGTGGTATTCATGTCTATGCACCCTGAAAGTCCCATCTTCTCTATTTATTATTTGCAATTTTAAGGGATGTAGTGCAATAATCATATCGGGTCACTCGCTCGCCACTTCACTGTTCTAACAAGTCTACATCTACTTATTGTTTTCCTCAAAGTGAAAGATGATCTCTTGGCCTGTAGAGGATCTCCAGAATAAAGTGAGCCCACCTCACCTGAGCTAAAGCTCATCATCTCTAGCCTTTTAAGGAAGCAACATCTCCAGATTGTGTCCAGGAGGCTGTAATCTTTGTCTTAACCCTCTGAGGGGAAGATGTGACATGTTGGGCTCTCTACAGCTAACTTACTTTTCTTCTGTTTTATCTAAATATACCAGAACCACAAAAACCATTAGAATAAAGAATAAGTAGTCAAGAATGGACTTTTTCCTTAAGACACATTCTTCAACACCCTACTACTGAAGGAAACATGGTATTACATACAAAATGTACACTCATCTACTCAGCCTTCAACAATTATAATGCGTTCCTCCCAAACAATTTTCTTTACATATTTCTTTATAGTTACATACTGTAGTTGCATAGTTAATCTGGTTGAAAAAAAAGACCATCTAGTTCAACCAATAAAAAGGAAAAAAAAAAAATCCTACAATCCCATATACACAATCCTATACCCACAGTTGATCCAGAGAAATGCTATCTATTATATCTATTTTTAACCTATAAGTATTTAATGTTACTTGTTCAATATTATTTATATTATTTAATAATACAAGTAATATTAAATAAATAACATTTAGGGGTGTCAAACTCTCTAGCCAGTGGTGTATTTAGGTTTTGTGCTGCCCTAGGCAACACAAAAAATTGCCCGCCCCCCTCCGTAGAGAATGCGAGAGACCCACCATCACAGCTCTCCAGAAAGAAATCATTTTAGAGGTTTTCAATCCCACTGCCAGCCCTCTGCTCCATCAGTACTGCCTATATCACTCACCCGCAGGGGCGGACTGACAACTCATGGGGCCCCCGGGCA